CAGGAGGCCTAGATGAGCGACCGCAAGAAATCGGCGCAAGGCGATCGAAAACGGTAAGCAACGCAGACTCGAAATAAGAGACCATCTCGTCGACGCAAGCAAAGTTAAAGATAGGCGACCAATCAATTCTGGCAAGTTCAGCCTCAATATCACCGGGCGAAATAGATTTTAGTTTGCGATATAAAAAGACTCGCGATCGACGCAACGGTCTCCATTAAAGGTATAATATTATATTATAGTTATATAACACATTGTTAACGTTGACTGAGTTTCTTTCGTTGTTATTAGAGAGGAAGCTGTCATCTCAGTCGCGAGGAAATTTCAAATGTAGATCAAAACATAGTACGTAATGCGGACATTATAATCATGACATGATTCGACGATCGAATGTGGTATAGGATTAATTGTTAGAATGTAAAATCATACGTAAGGAAATGTATATAATTGTAATATCGAACAAAGCGAATATATGTTGTGAGATAGGTTAGATTATGTATGGAAGTATTGTTGTAAGTCTGTTTTATGCATTATTGGTTGAATATTGAGAATGGTCTGATGACAGACCGAAACGTTTATTTATCAGTAATTATTTATCAGTAAGATGAGTGAAATATAAATAATTTTTTAATAAGAATTCGCTATTTCAATCCTGCGCACGTGGAAAAAGCCATCTAAAACCGAATTTTAACTTTTTAATTTATCATTCTAGTTATAGTATTTTATGACAAATATTTTTTAACAGTTGATGACTATTGAAATTAAATTTGAATACCTTCTGATGTACTGGGCTCGTTTTCATCATTTTGTGCAAAATCTGAACGTTTGTGATAGTTAGCTGAATTAAGTGCACCAAGTCTTCTCAACGTAGACTTAATATTTCTTACTTTATCAGGTAATTTTCCTCCTATATTTTTTTGGTTTGTACCATTTGTAAAAGGTGCATACACGTTTGTAACCTACAATATATTTATCAAAAAATGAAAAAAAAATTTTACTCCTAATAATATTAATTATCAAATAAAAAAATTTAACAATGTAAATCAGAATATATAAGGCTCTGAATCTAATAAAAAGGAATTAAAAAACCAATAACACGTTTATAAATAAAGAAATTTTACCTCAGTCTCAGTTGGAAATAATTCACATATTTTCTTGGATACGATTTCAAATTCTTCAAAAGTAGGGCTACAAAAAGAAAAGGGAAATAGCAACATTAAAAATATATTAAAGTTATGTTTGATATTATATAGTATATATAGAAAAACTAACTTAGTACTTATTTTTATCATACAACTTGCTAAAATCTCAACTAATATTTCTCTTGCTTCTCCACTTAGAATACCATTATTTTTATAATATGCTACAACAGCATCACCCTTTAAGTGTCTTTTTATTTCCTTCTGGATATCCTAAAATAAAAAATATGTTATGGAAATGTGAATAAAATATAAGTGTAATTAAATAAATAATTTTAACCCTCGCATTTTTATGAAACGCTAAATATAATCATCTAATTTTAAGTTTTATTTGTTACATATAAAAATTCCGTACAATACTTCAACTAAAAAATTGTATTATATATTATATATCAAATATGATATAACAGCAAGTATCAGTATTTCATTATAAATTTAAATAATTGCATAATATAACAATTCCTCAAAATATTTCTTTTATGTTCATATCACCATAGAAATATTTCTCCTTTCACTCATAATTCAAATTACAAGAATTCAATATATTGCTTACAGTTTGCTTATCAATCTTTCAAATTCTTTCCTTGTGATCCAAAATGCAAACCTTTTAGAATACTGTCTTGTTTGTTGTATTGTTGATGGTAGTTGTCTTTTCTTTCTGTTTTGAGCTAGAGAATCTGTTGTTTCAAAATCACTCACACTGTTTATTGATTCAGATATAGATTCAGATATTGATTCAGATATTGATTCGGACAGTGATTCGTTCTCACAGTTATAGTTTATCTGTTCATGTATTTGCTGCAATGTTAACATTAAATATTACAAGAATTTAGTTAGCTGCTAGCTTTACCAAATTAAAAGTTAAAATGTGTGTGTGTGTGTGTGTGTGTGTGTGTGTGTGTGTGTGTGTGTGTGTGTGTGTGTGTGTGTGTGTGTGTGTGTGTGTGTGTGTGTGTGTGTGTGTGTGTGTGTGTGTGTGTGTGTGTGTGTGTGTGTGTGTGTGTGTGTGTGTGTGTGTGTGTGCGCGCGCGCGCGCTTACTGTATCATTTAATTGTAAAGGATCAGTCGCAATAGTATTAATTTTTTGTATTAATATCCGGAAGTGGCAAGTTACAGTATCCAAATTCATCAACCTATAACAAAATACATACATACATGCCCATAAGACATAAAGAATCAATTTGATTGCATTTTGTATATATAATTATTTGGAATAAGTCTGAAATATTCTTTCCTTGTATCTCTAAATCAAGAATTAAGCTATTTGAAGTGTTGGCCTGCAGAGCACTTCTTCTCTTTAAAAACTCAGCTCGATCACTCCATTTTGGTAATAATTCCTCAGCCTTTTTCTCTGATACCAAAAATAATCGATCTAAGGTATTTATTGCATCTCCTAAACACAAAAAGTAGACATTTGACGATATTAATTATAAAAAGAGTTAAAAACTAGGAAGTTCAAAATTGACTTTTACAATACAATGTGTGCATAATAGGATATCAGTATAAATCTCCGGTATATCTCGGACCTGTCCACTTTCTTAACTACTTATAATGTGGTTTAAAAGAGTTATTATGAGTAATTAATGATACATTAAAATTAAATTATACTCATTTTATTATTTTCTAGAAACAGAAACTATGATCATGAATTTTTAGAAATTTTTAGAAATTTTAACCATTATAAATAATTGAAAAAATGAACAGACCCAAAATATTGATAATTTTAAGACTAGATCTACATCCAGAAAATATTTTATACATAATAAATATTTAATATAGCAACTCACGTGAGAAATGTATAATGATGGTTCATACTGCACAATTTATGTCTTATGGACATGTATGTATACTATAGCTTGCCACTTCTGAATATTAATACAAATAATACTATTGTAACTGATCTTTTCCAATTAAATAAAACCTCGTGGCAGTATGTCGTCACGGCAGTATAACAAAAACGCTAGCACACTTGCAAAATGCTTGCACATGCAAACAACGTAATGCAAGCAAAACTCATATGGGCAAACTTGTACGCAAGAATTTAGGCAAGTTGCAGAATTGTAATATCAACGAACTTCGTAACGAACGAACATTATCAAAAATAAGACAAGGCTAACAAGAGTCACCGGTCAACCGATCACCAATTACGCGAAATTGAGCTAAGAGATTGCGTAGCAGAAGGCAGAATCATAACACCAATAAACTTCAACATGTTAAACATGTAAACACCAAAAACAAGACGAGATTGACGAGTCACCGGACACCGATCATGCGAAATCGAGTAGAGGAATGCGTAGCAGAGGGAAGTACGTCACAACACATGTGTAGATCACGTGCTGCGCATTTTCCTATATCCGCGATTTCACATGAATAACTTTCGTCTTATTTTCGATACTGCACTGTTCTAGAACACTCTGGAACGAGCACCAAGGGATATGCGCAATGAATTCGAGCAAAGAGACATAAGTAATGAATGGTGCAACTATGACTTTTTAATAAGCATGCAGAAGTTATATGTTAAAAAATATACTCTCAAATGCAGGCCAATAATCATCTAAATGTGCTTCTTTCAAAAATTGTTTTACTTCGTTCACACACATTTTAATTAAAAACACGCACTACATAAAACTACACTGCAACTGTCTTGCGCAACTGACGCTAGGATAGCACGTCTTGTAACAAATGAGCGTGCCCAGTGTTGCTAGCGGGGACGCGTTTTCTCGTGTACGTTGATTTCAATAACGTATCAAGTTCACAAGAATATATACGGATAAAAACGAGAACACATGAGCTACGATCAAAAATAAATTCCTCTCTATACAAAATTCTATTATAATAATTCGAATAGCCTTTTGAAATAAGAGGATGTACAAGTAGTATCTTGCATATTCTTTTATTTCAAAAGGCTATTCGAGTTATTATAATAGAATTGTCTATAGAGGAATTTAATTTTGATCGTAGCTCATGTGTCCTCGTTTTTATAGATAAATACGGATGATAAATACACGCGCCTGATTGATTTAAGATTTTTTGCTTAGAGGAAGTGCTAAGAGTAATTCCCCGCTTATCGGCAGAATATTTTGGGTGAATGGATATATGCTTTGGCGTGGATGTATAAGCGAGTTACGCACATCCTGGTGCGGGCGGGGCGAGTGTATATCCTGGTGCAGGCGGCGAGTTATTCTCCGCGAGAAGCGGAAAAAAATCTGGGGAAGCGGCTGGGATCAAACCCTGATCTCCAGCGTGACACCCTAAACGCTTTACCACTGCGCCACTGCGACTGTACGGAATCACTATTTTGATTGTAGCCTTAGGGTGCTGTCTCATGACAGTCGAATTTCGGAAAACGGAATCTCGGAAAAGTACTAGACCGGAAAATACTAGACTAGAATCAGAAGACACGGCAGTGTCTTGGCAAGTTAGCATACGCGGTGATATACGCGTTGTATTCGTTATAATTCGTTACGGTTAAAAATTAATAATTGTTAATAAAATAATTATTAATAAACAATGCATCTTACGATGAGCGGAGTGGATACTCGATCATTCGTACTCGACGATCTTTAGTAATTTTTCTTAAATTCTAATTTTTCATTTATTAGCATAATTGTTGCAAAAATTTCAAAATGGTACACGATTTTCCAAACCAGTTTATGTGGGAAAATTAAAAAAAATTTTTTGTTTGGGGGGCCATGAATGATGTATAGGTATGTCCTGGCGCGGATATGTATGTATCTATCTATTATATACATATATCCTGATTCGGATGTATTATCCCACACGCTCGAGCGCGGACAAGCACCAACGCAAACCTGTACTATTATGACATGAATGATATTTTTTTGCATCTACGTACACGAATAATTATCGCGTGTATGTAACATAAGGTTAAAATCGAAACAGTGACTCATGCACAAGTCGTAGTGGCTCAGTGGTAAAGCGTTTGGGCTGTCACGTTGGAGATCAGAGTTCGATCCCCCAGCCGCTTCCCAAAGTTTTTTCCGCTTCTTTCGGAGAATAGCTTACCGCGATGCTTGTCCGCGCTCGAGCGTGTAGGATAAATACATCCGAACCAGGATATATATAATAGATAGATACATACATATCCGCGCCAGGACATACCTACATCATTCATGGCCCCCCCAAAAAAAAAATTTTTTTTGTAATTTTCCCACATAAACTGGTTTGGAAAATCGTGTACCATTTTGAAATTTTTGCAACAATTATCCTAATAAATGAAAAATTAGAATTTAAGAAAAATTACTAAAGATCGTCGATTACGAATGATCGAGTATCCACTCCGCTCATCGTAAGATGCGTTGGGCCAGCGTGCGGAGACCAGGCGCGCGGTGCGTGGTGTGCGGCAAGAGGGGAGTTGTTTACTGCAAGTCGCACTGGATCGGCTCTGAGCTGGTCGTTCCTCCGTCTTTTCTACAAAGACGAACTTCCTTAATATTTTACAAAAAATGTCTTTGTTACGTATTGCGTGTGTGTACATATATGTATGTGCGTGCACGCAATACATATGTGAAAAGCAATAGTGGCATGTGATACAGTATCGTAGCCCGAAAAATACATAAAGATAACATCTGTATCAATTCTTATTTATGTTATTAACTAGCACTAATAACGAATATGTCGATACTAATTGAAGCTTAGCTCTAGTTTTCCTGATGCACTAATCGCAAACATAAAATTTGATTCCGGTGCTACAACGTCATGAATATCCTTGCTTTTTTCGTCTTTCGCCTCATTTTTTATCTCAAAATTGTGATGCAGCCAAATGTAAACAATGCATTTGTTTCTAACAGGCAAAAATACGTTAGTAACGAATATTTATAGTCGTATTGCCAAATGGTATTAGACAGCGACATCACTTATTTCTCATACATATTTTATGGTTACAATGAATGCATCATGACAATTAGAGTTGAGATTTCTATTGTTATTATCGCTATAAAGTTAATAAAATTTATGTTTTTGACACAGAATGCATTTTCATTGTTGATCAGTGTCATTTTTCGGTTCACGATTCTTTATCACGTACCACTATTGCTGTTCATAAACGTACACATACATACACGCATGTGTACGCACACACATACGTACATACATGTCTACGCGATACATAGAATATATATATTTTATAAGAAATGTCGTTTTGGTAAAAAAGACGGAGGAACATTCAGTAGAGGGCCAGCACTCAATGCGCTGTTGCCGCTTGTAGTAAACAATTCCCCTCTTGCCGCGCACCGCGTGCCAAGCGCCTATAGCCGGCCTAGCGATCTCGAGCGCTGGATGAATGAATCCTGCGCGGTTACGATGTTTAGTAATTAATATCTCGATAACTATTGCGAAAATATCTATCCATCTATGAACGATGATAAACGTAATGTCAGACATTCTATCTATTTCACTTCCGTCGCGCGGCAATCATTATTGAAAATATGCCTTCGGAAAAATAATAAACTAGATATAATAAGAAATGATCACTTTATTTGTTCTTGCGTAACTATGAATGTAGAATCTTGAAAATGTATGGCGTAAATTTTCAAACTCAATATAAAATTTCGGTCGGATATATTGTCGGACAGTAATGATATCCGGTTATCCGGCCACATAATATAAAAGCGTCGGATACGGGATACTTGCCGTACACATGGCACATTCGTTGCAACAATTTCATCAATTTTTACGTATTCTGAAACGTGCATTACAGATATAAAAAAGTATTAATGGTAGATGGAAAGACTTTCGATGAATAAAATCCGTTGTAAAAGACGACGGCCGTATACCTACAACTATATTTAAATAATTTTATGTAATTATTACACATTGCAATTTGATGATTCATGTATATGCAAAATAATATTATCACTACACATTATAGATGATATATGCGTCGTAAATGCATCATTATGTTCGCATCTACGAAGGGTTGACTTACAATTTGTGGAAGATCGAGAACCTTTTTTTGTTATTTATTGTATTATTCCTATAAGAAATGTACTAAACATCGAACAAAATATACTATTTCTGTATAACTACATTTTTATTTTTACCGGACATGTTTTAATTTAATTGAAATGATCATACGAGTATCATTTGCGTATATACAACTTCTTTCCAGTCCGACTGTCATAATAAATATATGATTCAACAAGATGTACTTATCTTTAAAATTCTTTGTGTTTTCATTCATAATATACTTTTAAATACATCTCCATATATATAGGCCTAATTAATCACTGATAAGTATGTTATTTCCAAGCTTAAATGCATGTTGCAGAATACGCTGGGATTGTTGTCATTTTCAAAAATGCGAGATTAAAATATTAAGTAAAATGTAATATGCACATATTAGTTTATGCACTCATGAATAAAGAAAGAAATATTCCTCAATATATTCCGTATTTATGTCTTCATTTAGCATGTGAACAATGAAATGCCATTTCTTTGTAAAGATCTCCAAATCTATCCGCTCGGCCAAATACACGTGCGCGACAAGGAACGATCGCTTAGCACGGGGAATTGATTTTTCGCCGCCGCACCGGGCGACGTGCCTATTGCCGCTTAGCAAACCATCCTCTCCCCCCCCCCCCCCGCCCCCCTCGAGCGCCGGGATATTAAAACTCAAGAACGCGCATTTGACAGTAGGCCGGGCGAATATTTTGCTTATTCGGCTCTCTTTAGAAAATTGATAGGTAAATATGTAGATTAGGGGAGCCAATGACCTTGACCTTGACATATGTTGTCAAGGTCATGACCCCGAGTGACCTTGAGGAAGTTTTAATTGCAGGACGTTACTCATTAAGAAGTTATAAACAAAAGAAGTTTACGAAATAACTTC